AGAATCCGATAACAATATAAAGAGATTGCAAATATAACACTCAATTTTTTTAGCTACACTGCCAACACTCGAGCTCTGCGTAGTTTAGCAAAATATTCTGAGCCTGTCCTGCAAATGAACTGCGACTATTGCCGAAGTTCATTTGCAGGACACGACAAGAAACCGGGAATTGATTAGTTTTTCTCTGGGATTCGTTTTGAGCTTGCTTAGATGGCAACCTCTTGCGGTGCGTTAATCACACAGCGCCGTAACTGGTCTGCCATCTTACCATGGCGCTTCGTTCATCCGGCCTATTTCTAAAGAGAGGCAGATCTAAAAATCGACAGCAACTTCTCTACTACTCGTGCTCCCGTCGCTTGCTCGTTGCACGATTTTACGACCGTACGTGCCTAATACCTTCACTGCGTTTATATATATATAATATTATTTGAGGTTATCGAGCCTTAGCTCCTCAAATGACGAGTGCCCCTCGTAAAGACCCACGACCCCAGGCGAGGGAAATGGGTCGCCCCGCATGTCGGCTTGTTTCTGGAAATGGTCCTGCAGTAAAACCCGAAACGTGAAAGTCGTTCGATATAAGCGGATAAGCTCGTCATGGAATGGGACTACTCGCAATAGTAGAACTTTTTAGTTCTAACCTTGTTAGAACTAAAAAGAAAGAGACTTGGCCTTTGTTCTTCGGGGGAGGGGGTGCGAGTTAGAACCTCATGTTTCTATTTTTTTATTTGTACTTACTACTTTCAACAGATTGAAACAGTTCGCGTTCTGAGCGGCATGTTTGAAAGAAACCATCCTTGGCTGTATTAATTATATATAGATATGTGTGTGTGTGTGTGTGTGTGTGTGTACATACACACAGCAAAGGCCTACGCATGATGACGTCATCGTTAGTGGATCCTCGACCCGCGCCCCAAGCGGCAAAGACACTGAAGTTTGGCAAGAGACGCCGTAAGGCGGCAGACGCTTCCGTCTTGGCGTCGTCGAATGGCAGCGTCGCGCTGGTTGTGAGGCGCTATCGAGATGCGCTGGCGGCGACGCTGACGCAAGCTATAGGCAACGCTGCGTGGGTCCACTTGTGATGACGTTTGGGTGGAGAAGGCAAGCGGTGAAACTACAGCCGTTTCTTTTTAAACCCCAGACTGCACAAACTGTAATTCGGGCACTTGCGACGAGCGCGCTAGCTACGACTTTGTCCGTTGTGACCGGAGCGACCGGAAGAACCGCTCTTTGCCACGCGTAGCACATACGCACTCCTGCAACCACTGCAGGCAGCGCAGCAGGTCGTAACACGACAGCCGATCCTCCGCCGCCGACAGCCGTTTCCGCGGTATCGCTAAAAAGAAGGGGCGCGCGGTCACTCACTGGCGTAGCAGAAAAAGCACAGCGTATTTTATCGGTACAAGCTTTATTAACTTTTATTTTGTCAGGATAGGGTCGCAGGGCAGCGTGGAGAAAAAAAGAAAAGAGAAGAAATGCAGTACGCCGTCTTGGACGATCACGACTTTAAAACACGACTTTACTGATAATACAAATCTCGCCACGCGCCTTTTCTACAATTGCGAAAGACGCTGCTATTTTAGCAGAGATATACCAGACGGCACTGGGAAAATCGGCGTTCGTTGCCATGGTGACGGCGATGGAAGCAGACGGCATTTATGCTGCGCAGCGATACGAGGTGCGTTCTGAGGTCCTTCCCGCTTGCTTTTCAATGGACGGAACGCAAACCAAAAGTGTTCGAAATAAGGACTTAAGGCAGAAGGCTGGTTTTCTCCAGCGCCTTATAATTTGACAAGCTTTACACGAAAAGCATGTTTTTAAACCAAAGTTTGGAAATAGATTTTTTTTTCTCATAAAAACATGGGTCTAAACTTTAAGTATCAATGTGCAAATAGTTGCTTTAGATGAAGCCTCGGTGGCTATACGAGCGCTTGTGCAGCGAGTGCTCCAGTCAAGGCAGTCAAGGCTAGCCGCTTGCGTTTGCACAGCCTTCGCAGTTAGTTCATATATAGGGAGTACCCGCTGGGCGGCCATAGCTGTGTGCGCGACTGCTGCGCACGCGCTGACGGCTAGCTTCCCCGATTCTTTGGCAACGTGCATTCCACGTCATCAAGATTGCCGGTCTTAGCAGCCTATTAATGCGGGCTTGTTCTAAGCATGCGTTCTAAACACCACCCTCAAATATCGCGTCCAGTGAATACCCCTACATGTTATGCAATCTTGTGCGCCGTGTTGTGTCCTGTTCTCCCTTTTGTCCTCGTCCTTGCTGCGCACAAGATTGCATAAGATGTCAAGCCAACTCGCCCGAACAACCACTCTTCTTGGACCCCTACATAGTACCCCAGTGATGATATTTGAATGCGGCTCATAGACTCGGCCCGAGCATTGAGTCATCACTCGATTTGAGCTCGCTATAATCAATAGCTGGACAAGCATTTGGGTGGAGGCTCGCGTGAAAGCGCTGCAATGACGACAATTGCCGAACCCTAACAATGCCCAGAACCCAGCGCATGTATCGTGCTTTGTCAACCACAGCGTGCGGCTATGATAAACGTTGGCGGCATATAATCGGCTCCAGACCACGTGGCTTCTTTTTCTGGCCTCGAGTTGAGGGGAAGGATGGTGCTCGTTTTTCTTTAATTTTTCCTTTGCAATTACCATTGTCCACGGAAAACACTAACGCTCGTTTCAGAAGTTATAAACGTCAGTTTTTACACCAGTCATTCAAATCCCAGGAAAAATAAGGAAAGAGGCATTGAGTTCGAAAAAACTCAACTATCTGTCTCCGTCCCCCCGAACCCCCCCCCCCCCCCCCCTAAAATTTTTGTTCTTCCGTGATTTTCAAATCAGGCAATTGCTTCTTTATGCTAAAAGTACCACGCTGTGTACAATCAAAACGACGTCTCGTTATTGCACGTATGGCCACGCGGCCTGCACTAGTCACATTTTGAGTAAAACCACGTTTTTTTATACGACCCCATTCGATGGACAATTTTCTAAGCTTGCGGTGATAGGCCTGCAGGTGCAAACATGCTGGCAATTTTAGAGTGCCCCCACACCAGAATATCACTTCCAGCACTGCGCTCGAGTCTGGTGGGTCGTATTCGCAGCGACCACACGATGTAGTCGCGGCAATAGCACGGACTTGTTCTACAATAAACCCGTGAGCGAGTACACACTACTATCGCATTTTGTACCTCAAAGCTCGATTTCCCAACTATAAGGAGGGCATGCCGCGGGCGTAATTATAAGGGTGGGTTTGGATTGCGCATGCGTCCGTGTCCACAGTTCCCCAGCATGTGGGTGTCAGGTTTTTTTTATTCGTCTCCGGTGTTTGTTTTATTAATTAGGTGCCAAAAACAGCGTGTTCCAGAGGCACAGCAGACCACACAGTTGAGCTTCAGGATTGGGATATAGTATAAACTTATAAATATAATGCATGTACAGAGTTAATTAGTGCAAACGCTACATTTTTCTTGTGAAGGCGAGAGGCTTTTGCTTAATAATTATTTTTGCGTAGATTACACAATTATAACAAAATCTCCATCAGCTTGTAGATATTAAAAAAAAAGTGAAAGCTGCTTACAACTCCCTGTAACGCCGAATTAGAGCGCAGCTCTTGAGGAGGAGGAGGGAAGGGCACTGGGGGGGGGGGGCGGTTAAACTAACCAGGGGGGGTCACGTGACCTTGCGGGTCACGTGACCCCCAATGCCGATGATGTCATCACTGACGTCACTGGTGACGTCATCAGTGACGATGACGATGCGGGTACCGATGACGTCATTAGTGACCTCACTGATGACTTCACCAGTGATGCTGACGATGACGATGCGAATGTCGGTGACGTCATCAGTGACGTCGCTGATGACGTCATCAGTGATGATGACGATGACGATGCGGATGTCGGTAACGTCATCAGTGATGATGACGATGACGATGCGGATGCCGGTGACGTCATCAGTGATGATGACGATGCGGATGCCGGTGACGTCATCAGTGACGATGACGATGACGATGTGGATGCCGGTGACGACATCAGTGACGTCACTGATGACGTCATCAGTGATGATGACGATGACAATGCAGATGTCGGTAACGTCATCAGTGATGATGACGATGACGATGCGGATGCCGGTGACGTCATCAGTGATGATGACGATGACGATGTGGATGCCGGTGACGTCATCAGTGATTATGACGATGACGATGTGGATGCCGGTGACGTCATCAGTGATGATGACGTCATCAGTGATGATGACGATGACGATGTGGATGCCGGTGGCGTCATCAGTGACGATGACGTCATTGGGGGGTCACGCGACATCGGCGGGGGTCACGTGACCTCAGGGGAGTCACGTGACTTCGGGGGGTCACGTGCCCCCCACGAAGTCACGTGACCCCGGTGGGGGGCTCGCGCGGTGCATTATGGGACATTTCCCATGATGCACCGGGGTCACGTGACCTCGGGGGGGTCACGTGCCCCCCCACGAGGTCACGTGAGCCCGGTGGGGGGCTAGCGCGGTGCATTATGGGACATTTCCCATGAGGCACCGCGCGGTTACGCCGACGCCGACGCCGACGGCAACGGCGACGCCGACGCCGCTCAAGCCGGAAACGGGCCCCTAAGAGCTGCGCTCTAAAAACGAGGCTAGCCAAGAAAGGTGCTTTAGGTATTGTGCAATTATTGCGCAAATTATCGATTACACGTTCTTTTTTATGCTTCCTTTTTTTTTTCTTGTCCTTGATTTGGCAAAAATATGGCATTGCCATTTTCCCTGTAAAATAGTGACGTAACGACCAGTTGTAAAGTTCAGAGCTGGACGCTAATTTGAATGAATAAAATACGAGATGTCTCCGATCCTGTTTTCAAACAGACTTTGTCGCGCAGTGTAGTGTGCTTTCTCTTATCATGATAATCGGTTTTTGTTTGTGTGTGTTTGTGTGTCAGAGTTGCTATTTTATTAGTATGTCTAAGTCGCCTTATTTTTCTTTACCTTGGCAGGGTGCGAGTGGAGTTCTACGTGAACGAGAATACGCTGAAGGAGAGGCTACACCTGTACTTCATCAAGAACCAGCGATCGAGTGAGTCGGACACGACGCGCACTCAGTTAACCGTTTCCGAGTTTCGTTCAACTCTCGCAGTCTATAGAACCGCGGACATACTGCACGTACATCGTAAAACGACTCGGCGTTCGCTGCATACATGACGATAGAATTTCCTGCGGACAGGTCTAAAGCACGTTCGAACACGTCTAGAGACAGTTTCTGTATGGTCAAGCAAGAAAGACACAGGCATCACACATTGCATGCAGACTGTCTTTTGCCAGTCTACTGTCCGCGGAGCACTTAGACGACCCGTACTAATACGAGTGACGAATGCAGTAAGTAAACACCACCAGGTAACCCTGCAGGTACGAGCTAGAGCATCAAATCGGTTTGCGGGCCAAACCTAAAAAGGCCGGTAGTCGTGGCAAGATACATGACGTCAGGATGACGTGTACCTCGATAGCGGACTATTTGTCCATCGCGGAAGAATTATGGCTGGCGGTAATAGGGGTGTGGGAGTAGCGTCTGACGCATCCTTAACATTTATTTGCTATAAAGACAGCAGCAACGAACAATATATGAGGACACATCAAACGTGTCTCGTTGTAATTCGGGTGTCTTCATCGTGGGCTTTGCTTAGGGTAACGGCGTGCTTTGTAGTACCCGATGCCGACGGCAGGAGCTCCCGGGAAAAAAAAAACAAAAGAAATAGCCGGTAAAAAATGCCGCCGTAGTACTGTCAAGACCAAACACTCGTGCGGAGAGACTCGCTTGCTCGCGCTTAGAAACAAAACAAAAAAAAAATGGTCAGATGTCATCAGCCTAAAGGCCCTGTCACACTGCGGAAACAGTCGGAGAACTTTGTCCTTCAACACGAGGAAAACATGTTTTCGGGGACCCTGTCACATTGCGGAAACAGCAACAGTCCGGAAACATGTTGCTGTCGTCCGAAAACCATGTTTCCCAACTTGTTCTCCGACACTCGGGGAACATCCTGTCACACCGAGAAAGCGTGTTGGAAGAACACAAAACACACTCTCGGTTCTTGGCAAACAAACCTCGGCGCCTCGGGACACCTCGCCAGTGACTGCTTTGACTTCCCTCCTTGATGCGCGTCCGCTAGTTGTTAGAAAAAAACAACGTACCGCTCGAGTTATTTCGTCTGCCCTCTCTGAAAGGCGAAGTCGAGAGTCGCAGGAAAGGTAAGACAGACGCAGACGATGTTGCGAGCAGACGACGTTGCGAGCAGACGACGTTGCAAAGGAGCAGACGACGCTGAGATAGGGGGTCGCCATCAGCCAATCAGGGCTCGGCGTTCTGACGTCACCGCTACTTCCTTTCTCATACGCAGGAGACGAAAATGAGGCCACTTGCGAGGCGTATTACGCAAACCGAAACTGCGAGGGCGCATTATCATCATCATCATTGAAAGGAGCAACGTTAGCAACCTCTGAGACCAAAGCCGCAAAGGCTAAGCGAAGAACCATCCCACTAAGCAGCCTATTTAAGAAAAAAAAAAAAAAAGGCCGAGCTTGTGGATGTTTTCAATGTTGGCCCGCCCTGTTCCCCTGCGCTAGCTAGCAGCGAAGTCAAAGCTAGCGCGAGCCCAATGCTCTTTGCATTCCTGACTCGCGCGTGGGCTCGTGCAGTGTGGGCACCGTTACGGGCTCCATGCGTGCGCTTGTAGCTTCGGCTGCGCTCGCACCGAAGCTGAAACGAAGTATAGTTCAGTTGCACCAAACTCTGGATGTAGCGCTGGTAAAGCCTCACCGTCCTTTTCGGAGCACAAAGCACTGCGCGACTCGCGCGACTGCGGTGTCTGCTCCGCGGGTGTCGCTTCTCTGCAGCGCGTCGGTGCATGCCAAGGAGCGCACTCAACGGGTTAACTCGCCGGGATCGATCGTGACTTCGCCAGCACATCGAAAATGAATCGGAATTTTTGAAGCGAATATCAGATACCGCAATATTTGAAGCTGCTGTCCGAAAGACAACTCTAATATGAACTAAAACATTGCACAACAGTGAGGGTCGTTAGATGCTGCTGCAGATACCTTAAAAGAAGTGCAAACTGATAAAACTAAATATTCTGTACCATCAAAACTCAGTGTGACATTTAATTGTATTGTTTTATCTGACGAGCAGATAAACATTTATTTAAAATAATGTTTTTTGTGTTTACTTGTTGAATTTTATATATCCTGTCTTAAAGAGGCGACAGGCGCTGTGTTCCAATAATAGAGATGGGCTTTCTATAGCAATGCAGCATTATTTCATTTTCAAGTAATATGCCAACATATGCCGGACCCTGCTCCAAAAGGGCCACTACTTGCTCCAAAACAACATTTTGCCTGCTACAAGGCCTGCTCCAAAAGGTCAAATGGCACTTCCATCACTGCAACATGAACGACAGCGACAATGTTGTCTCGGTGTGACAGCTTTTGGCAACGGAAACCTCGACAACTTGTGTCGGACGACACGTGTTGCCCAGTTCGGTGGCTGAGCGAAGTTTTTTCCAGCAACACGGCAACATCTATATTTTTCTGTACAGATAGTCGCACGAGAATACTTCAATAATTGACGTCAAGGGTGAAGGGCCATTTTGAACGCGGCTTCTTGCGCGGCGGCAGCTGATCGTCAGAATCATCTGAATCGATGGCACAAAGAAGCACCAAAGCAGAAGCTGCTGCTGTGGCCGGCGCGTATGCCATCCTGCAAGGGTCCAGCCCTGTAGCAGAACGCAACCGCCGAATCCAAAGAACACGAGATGGTTCGCGCGGCTGATGAATCGACTACGGTAGAGCGACGGCGATGAGACGGCGATCCAAAATGGCAATGATTCAAGGGGCGAGCGGAGCCAGCGGATCTGAGCCTGGCCACCTATACTTCGTTTCAGCTTCGGTCCAGACGCAGCCGCGCGAGCATCTGGCCCAGAACAGTGCTTGCACTGCACGAGCGCGCGTGCTTGGCAGGGATGCTGAAAGCCCGGAGCTCGCGCTTATAGCTTAGCCGAGCCGGCCGGGCAGACGAGGGCGAGAGAGAGAGGGAGGCAGCGGGCAGGAGAGGAGGCAATTTGTGTTCTTCCAACACGCTTTCTCGGTGTGACAGGATGTTCCCCGAGTGTCGGAGAACAAGTTGGGAAACATGGTTTTCGGACTACAGCAACATGTTTCCGGACTGTTGCTGTTTCCGCAATGTGACAGGGTCCCCGAAAACATGTTTTCCTCGTGTTGAAGGACAAAGTTCTCCGACTGTTTCCGCAGTGTGACAGAGTGCTTCTTTGTGCCATCGATTCAGATGATTTTGACGATTAGCTGCCGCCGCGCAAGAAGCCGCGTTCGAAATTGCCCTTCACGCTTGACGTTATTATTGAAGTACTCTCGTGCGACTATCTGTACAGAAAAATATAGATGTTGCCGTGTTGCTGGAAAAAAAATTCGCTCAGCCACCGAAATGGGCAACACGTGTCGTCCGACACAAGTTGTCAAGGTTTCCGTTGCCAAAAGCTGTCACACCGAGACAACATTGTCGCTGTCGTCCATGTTGTGTTGCTGTTTCCTCAATGTGACAGGGTTGTCGGGCAACAGAGCCGACAGCCGACATGTTTCCCGACTGTTGAGAAACATGTTTTGTTCATGTTTCCGCCGTGTTTCCTCAATGTGACAGGGCCTTAAGCAAAGCGCACATAAAGGCACCATATAGTCACAATCACTGACGGAGGGAGTCTATGCGGAGGGAAAGTTCGTCTGCTTCTCGCGCAGGGGGTAGCGGTGACGTCAGAACGCCGAGCCCTGATTGGCTGATCGCGCCCCCCCCCCCTATCTGAGCGTCGTCTGCTCCTTTGTAAACGTCGTCTGCTCGCAACGTCGTCTGCGTCTGTCTTACCTTTCCTGCGACTTTCGAAAGTGCAGAGGCCAGATTCACGAAACGATCTTACGCCAAAAATGTGCGTAAGACAAAACTTAAGAACAAATTCGTATTCACGAAACAAAATTTTCGTAAGTTTTGCGCAGGTTACGACAAAATCCTACGACAGCTCCGAAGCTGTCTTACGCACTTCTTACGATCAAATCAGCATGGCCGACAACGTCGCGGTCGCGACGACCCACGGACGTTTATTTTTTTACGTGCGGTTCTGACGCGTCCCGACTTCAAACAGCAAGAAAAAAGTAAAAAGTACTTGAAACAGACCACGACGAACAAAAACGCTGGATCCACAAACACCCGGGAAAAGCTCCCACGGCCACGATCCCACCGAACGCGACCAAACGAGCTGGGCAGTTAGGCCTAGCAGGCTCTCCGCGACTCGGCGACCGTCTGCCCACGACCGGCTGGCGTGCTGAGTGGAATATGCCCGCGCGACCCTTGTGAACCCTTCCCGTATAATATTTTGATTGCTGACCTCAGTTTTAGATTAAAATGTCAATTTCTTCCTCTTGTTATCTCCTTGTTTGCGGCGGCAACGGTGACTCTCGCCGATGAAAAAGCGGTGAATCTCCGACAGACGCAGCAAAGGTAAAGCAGCCATCGCTTTGACCGCTTTGACTAGCAGACGTAAAGCAGACGACGTTAACTGCGCCAACCCGCCGACGCCGTCAAAGAGTGAGGGGTCTCGCCGCACACGAATGGAGGGAAAAAGTATTTGGGAGGGAACTTGCCTCGGTTCTAAGCAAAAAAACCTCGGCGCCCCGGGACACCTCGCCAGGGAGTCCTTTGACTTCCCTCATTGATGCGCGTCTGCTAGTTGTTAGACAAAAACAACGTACCGCTCGAGTTATTTCGTCTACCCTCTCTTAAAGGCGAGGTCAAGTTCGCTCCGAAAGTCGCAGGAAAGGTAAGACAGACGCAGACGACGTTGCGAGCAGACGACGTTGCAAAGGAGCAGACGACGCTGAGATAGGGGGTCGCGATCAGCCAATCAGAGTTCGGCGTTCTGACGTCACCGCTACTTCCTTTGTTATGCGCAGAAGACGAAAATGAGCCCACTTGCGAGGCGTATACGGCAGGGCCTGTCTTTCGTATTTCTCGGCCTCCAGCAT